GACGCTGTATTTTGCAGGATCTGGATTCAAAGAGGACGATTGGGAGTGGTCGTGAAGTGAATGGAATCTACCTCCTGGATGCTCTCCCTCTTCACCAAAGTAATCATGTTTGCAGGGACATTGAGTCAAAATCTGTGGATCAGATTCTGCTTTGGCATAATCATCTAGGTCATTTGTCTTTTTCTTTTAGTTCTTTGTTTCCAAAACTGTACGAGTCTGTGAGTCTGCCAAGTTTGAAGTGTGAAGGTTGTGAACTTGGAAAGCATTGTAGACACTCTTTCAAACCTAGTAATAAGAAATGTTCTTCTCCATTTGATGTTATTCATTCGGATGTGTGGGGCCCTTATCATGTTCCCTCTATGGGCGGTTATCGCTATTTTCTCCTATTTGTGGATGATTTCTCTTGATATTCCTGGATTTACCTGATGAAATCCCGCGATGAAGCACCATCCTTGGTGAGGCAATTCCACCAAATGGTACTAACACAATTTGGAATGAGAATAAAGATGTTCAAATCTGACAATTCTAAAGAATACTTTGAGAGACATCTTGCCTCATATCTGTTGGAGTATGGTATTGTCCATCAGAGTAGTTGCTCCTACAATCCACAACAGAATGGTATTGCAGAGAGGAAGAACAGATACATTGTTGAGACGGCAAGAAGCATGATGATCACAACTACAGTTCCGGTTCGTTTTTTGGGTGATGCAGTTCTCACGGCAGTATATCTAATTAACAAGGTGCCTTCTCGTATACTTGGATTCAGCACTCTGTTCAGCCTTCTTTTTCCTCAGGGGGAGATGTTTCATATTCCTCTAAGGGTGTTTGGGTGTGTCTGCTTTGCGCATATTCTTGGTCCTTACCGTTCGAAACTTGATCCCAAGGCAAAGAAATGTGTCTTCCTTGGATATGCAGAGAATMAGAAAGGGTACCGCTGCTATGATCCAGTCTTTGGGAACCGGTATGTTACTATGGACATTACCTTTTTTGAATCCATGTGCTTCTTCTCAAGAAATCCTTCTCAGGGGAAGTGTTTTGGGGAAGCAAGTCAACAGTCTATCCCTCTCCCAGTTCCAATCCCTGTGTCTACTCCTGTGCTTGACCACCACTTGATATCACCTACCTTGCCACCTCCTTTGCGTTCCGTCTCACAGCATTACTCATGGTAGAGACTTCATAAGACGATTGATTCCACTACAGCGGAACTCACACCACTTCCTGTCAATCCCTTGGAGACTCCAGATTCGGCTGATACGGATTCAGGTATTCCTCTTGATCCCACTACTATTTTAGTTCCCATTGGTCCTACTAACACTGTTACAGATAACCTTGATCTCCCTATTGCTCTTAGAAAAGGGAAGAGAAAGTGCACTGCTCATTGTATTTCACAGTACTTATCCTACAGTAGACTTTCTCCTTCCTAGCGTGCTATTCTCTCTTCTCTTGATTCAGTGTCTATACCCAAGGGTGTTAGTGAGGCTCTCTCCAAACTAGAGTGGAAGACAGCTATGTAGGAAGAGATGGAGGTTTTGATTAAGAATCAGATATGGGAGATTGTGGACCTACCAGAAGGCAAGGAGACAGTTGGATGCAGATGGGTTTACACAGTAAAGTATAAGGCAGATGGAAGTATAGAGAGGTAYAAGGCAAKAYTTGTTGCRAAADGRTACACAYAGACCTATGGCATTGATTATCTAGAGACATTTGCGCCAGTTGCAAAGATGACCTCTGTTCGGATACTCCTTTCTCTTGCTACCTCATACTCTTGGCCCTT